CCGCTCCGCTCACGGCGCCCGCCCGCCCGGCCGAGCGGAGCGCGGCGAGTGCGGGCACGGCGGGGCCGGGGCGCGAGGGGGGGACGCGGGGGGGAGAGGGGAGAGAGTGGAAAAAACGAAATAATAAAAAAAAAATAAAAAAAATAACGCTAAAAAACCGCGGTAGTGGATTTAGGGCTCCTGAGGGGCAGGCGAGCGGTGCCGGAGGACAGGGAAGCGCTGCCCGGAGCCGGGGGCCATGGCCGGGTCCCGCCGCCCGCCGGCGCCGCGGGCCGGGGCTCTCTGTTGTTGTTGTTGTTGTTGTCCCTCCAGGATGGTGATTCCCGGTGCTCGGCGATCGCGGCGGTGCCCCCTGGTGACAGCCCGGCGCGGCCTCCCCGGCGGGCCCGGCCTTGCGTCAGCCCGGAGGGAGCGGGGCCGAGCGGGGCCGGGCCGGGCGGAGCGGAGCCGAGCGGGGGCTCCCCGGTCGGGGCCGGGGCGCGGCGGGGGCTCGGCGGAACGCGCGTGTTTGTGTTAACCCCCGCCTGCCGGGAGGGAGCTGCCCAGCCCGAGCGCCCCCGCCCGCCCCGCCGCGGGGGCCTGCGGGGCGGTGCGGGGGGACCCGCGGCGGGGGCGCTCGGGGGGTGCGGGGACGGGGGGACCCCGCTCGGGGGGTGTCAGCGGCAGCGCGGGGGGAGCTCGGTGTGCCTGCGGGGAGCGGGGAGCTCCCAGTCCGCCCCGAGGACCAGGAAGCCCGGGGAAGTGGCCGTAAGTGCGGTGCGACCCGCAGGAACAACGCCCGGAGGGGGTGTGCGGGTGGGGAGGGCGGGTGGGGGCACATAGATATGCACCGGGGCTGGTTCACATGAAAAAAAAAAAAAAAAAACAAAAAACAAAAAAAAAAAAAACACCACGAAAAAATTAGCTTCTTTCTATTCACTAAAATCAAATTTGTGAGGGTTTAACCACCTGGGAGTTTTACTGGGAGTTGGGATGAGATGGTCTTTAAGGTCGCCTCCAGCCCAAAGCACCCTGTGATTCTGTGACTGTATGATTTCTGCCTTTAAAGTCACCACCTGCTCTAGCAGAGCCCTTTCCCTGCTGTGACACCAAAGGGATGGTAATGAACACCTTGTTCCCACCAAGAACCAGCTCCCAGCAGCATATGGGCTGTGAGGGGATGCCGAGGCACTGACTGACTGTGTACCCCAACCCTGCACATCCCCACGGGCCCCCTCCCACAGCAAAGGTGAAAGGGAACCGTGGAGTCTGAGCCGAGGCTGCCTCACCACGCCAAGGCTCTGACAGAGGTTAAACGACCAGACAGTGGGGCTTTTGAGAGGACCTGTGTCCCCAGAGTGTTCAAAAGCCACTGACACCTTTCCCTGAGGAGTGAGAGCTTCCTACAAAGTGCTCGCAACGGGTATCCCAGCGAAGGTGGGATTTTAATTCCATTATGATGAATTCAGCATCTTAAATCCTTTACATTTGGGGGGGAGGGGGGGGGGGGGAGGGGGAAACTTCTATTTGTCTTAGAGCAAAAAATAAAACAGATATTTCTCAGCCTTTTTTCATCAGTCTGCAAAAATCCTCAGAATCACCTGTGAGGGACAAGGGAAATTCAAGGAGCCAAAAAACTTCAAATTTGAGTTTTTCTGCAGTGAGGTGGCTGTTGTTGGTACAGATAGACCCCACTTTCAGCCCTGCTGAAAAGGGGCTGCCAGGGTGGTTCCCCTTGCCTGCTGTGTGTACACACACAGGAAGGACTGTCACACACAGAGCTGTGTGTGGGTGACACGCTCAGCCCCACCACGGGTGGCCTCTGACACGTCCCCAAGTGCAGTGACGCAGTGGGAAGCCACAGGGCCATGTCCTAAACTGTGACTTGGTGGGTTTGAGTGTCTCAAGGTGCACCAAGGGACCTGCTTCCTTCATCGCAATGCGTCACAAAAGGACCTGCCCCCTAAAAGCCTCTAAAACTGTAGGTTTAAATCCATCTCTCATGGCTTTGATGGTTCACAGCTTCAGCCAGAAAGTAGAAGAGCAAGTCCTGGGAGTAAGGCAGGATGGGGCGGAACAGCTCAGGAGCCATCGCAGAGCTGCACACGCCTTTACACTGCTCCTCATGCCAAGGACATCTCCCAGCACCTCTCAGCTCAGGGTTTAAATGAGCCTCTGGAGATTGGGATGCCTGCAGGACAGTCACGAGGATTCTGGGCTCTGTGCCTCTGTACACCCCAAACACCTGCACTGCAACCTGACGGGCTGCCCTCCCTTCCTGAAACCAGTGTTTTCATGTTAATGGCACATGGAATCATCAGCTGGATTGATGACCTTGGAGGCCTTTTCCAACCAAAATGATTCCACGACTATTCCCTGAAGCATTTGTGAACACAGCAGCTCCTCCACACCGTGTCCTGTGCTCATCTCCCTCTCCCAGTTGTTTATGGGCTTTGCTCACCCAGCCCATATGAGCTGTGAAGAATTACATTCTCACCACCTTTCCTCAGTCCCATGAGCGTCTCCATGCAAATAGCCATATTCCAAAGCACTCCCTGGAATTCCAGTGTTAGCGTGTCCCCCCTGCAGTCGTGGGTGAGCCAACCCCTCCGACTGCCACGGGGGTTTGGTGCCCACCACAAAGGGCAGCAGGGCCAGGTGTGGGTGCAGCCAAGGTGCTCCTGGGGGCTGGAATCATGTCCAGCTCCTGATCATCCATTGCTGGGCCTCAGGTGATCCCATACCCAGCAGTAGAGTGGTGTGTCCGTGTTTTTACTCCTGTTTTCACAGTGTCCATGTTTTCACTCCTTTCCCCTGCAAAGTCAGTTGTGTTGGATGATGCTGGAGCCAACAATGCATGGAAACACAGTGGCTCTGTTCTGGCAGCTCAGACATCTTACTCATCCCTTTGACAGGGATTAATGGATAAAGAAACTTATGGGTGAGGTTGTCCCACTGTCCTCAGTTCTCCAGGAGCATTTGGATCCAGAAGGTGCCCGGCAGCCCTCTGGCAGGGAGGGTGAGCAGTGGAGCTGTGCCCAGCTGCCTCAGCAAAACGTCATTTGATCATTAAGTTCACTCTTTGAAATACTGAAATTAGTTTTTATCTGATAAATAGTTCTAAAATTAGTATTTTAAAAGATTTAATATTTAATATTTAATTAATTATTGATTAAAAAATAAGTTTTAAGCCAATTGGAAAAACATCAGCGGCAGTGGCGCAGCCTCAAACAGACCAAGAGTCCCCCTGTCCAGTGGCTGCAGACAGTATCCATCCTTCCAGTGCTCCCCAACACCACATTTATATTGATTGTTAATATTAATTTATGCTAATATATTAATACTTTATATTCCCTCCCACAATCTGATGGCATGTGCCATAAGGAGTCACTGCACGGGGTTTTGGTGTCACATTGACATTAAACTGTGTGTTTGTTGTCAGTCACTAGAACCTGCACGAGGTACATTGGCAAAAAAACAAACTTTGAACCTTCTTGTCAGCTGTCAATAAAACTTATCAGTCTCTTTTATGAGATTTTAATTTTTCAGATATTTATTTTATTTTGTGTTATTGACTTTATCTTACTTATTTTACTTACTTTTTTTTCATTTACTTCGGGGCCCAGGTCGAGGCAGGAGGGGAGGGCAGGAGCCTGCCCGTGGCAGCACCAGCAGCAGGGCAGCCTCGGTGACATTGTCCATGTCTTGTGTGCAGTTCTCACTCTACATGGCCTTCAGGGGAAAAACTTAAATAAAATAAAAATGAAACAGACCCGGGAGCGCCCAGTGCCCCTGGATTGGGGCAGGGAACAAGCAAAACCTCCTCCCACCTCCCTGCTGCACTCAGAGGAGTGAAAGGGAACTGGATCCTCAGTTCCAGAGCAAAGCAAGGCAGGAGAGGGAGAGTCAGCACACCAGTGATGGGAGCAGTGGGGAGCAGAGGACAGGCTGGGGGAGATGGGGCAGAGCTGGGAGCCAGCATCCTGGCACAGCTCTGCTCAGGACATGGCCACTGTGGTCACCACAGCCACCACTCCAGGGGCTGCTCACCCAGGGTGCCCTATGGCTGGGCTGGGATCTGTCCCAGTGCACATCATGGCAGTGATGAGTGAGTCAGTGGCACCACTGTGATCTGTGGGTCACAGGATCATCTTATCACAGCGTGTTTTGGGTTGGAAAGGACCTTCCAGACAATCCCATTCCACCCCCCTGCCATGAGCAGAGACACCTTCCACTAGGCCAGGTTGCTCACAGCCCTGTCCAACCCACAGTGCCATCACTGTGCAGGGCTGGTGTGGGGGAGCCCCGTGGACTCCCTGGGCTGCTGGAGATCCAGAGCAGTGGGGATCTTAGCCCCAGCACAGCAGGGCAGGCTCCGTGCCAGTGGTGCTGAGTGCCCAGCACAGGGGGACTGCGGGTTCCCCAGGCAGAGGGTGAGACCCCTGCACACCCACCTGCAGGGGCAGCAGCAGCGATGGCCCCGGTCCTGCTGCACATGACAGCTGAGCCCCCAACCACAACCAAGCCCCCCCAACCACACCTGAGCCCCCCCAACCACACCTGAGCCCCCTAAACCACGTCTGAGCCCCCCAAACCATGCCTGAGCCCCCCAGCACCACTGACCTGAGTAGAGCCGCCCCAATGCAGAGTTAATCCCAGAGCCAACCCCACTGGCAGCACTGCAGGCAAGAAGAATCCAAAGGCAGAAAGACAGGGAAATCTGATCACATTTGTCAGGATGTGCTGTACTGACCCTGCATCTCCTGGTTTTTCCTCGGCTGGGCTGTGAGTCGCTGCCAACGCGGGACCAGGAGTCGCCGCTGGGTACAAGGGCAAGATGCAGTGAGTAGAAAAACTATTGGAAGAGATTCCGTTTGGATCTTCAGGAATCAGGACTTGGTTGGCATATTTTGGGGGAAAAAGGCACATTCCTGGGGGGGGAACCCCTGGCTCCTCTGGGGTTGCTCCACAGTTCCAGGAACATGTTTGCTGGGCTCTGCCCATCCACGAGGATTCATCACTTGCAGTTGAACCCAATGTTTTATTTTTTACCCTGAGCTGGTTGCAGGCAGGAGCTGCCCCTGTCACCCCCTCACATGGTGTCACTGTGCTGGGCCACAAGCATTCCCTGCTCCAAAGCTCTGTAAAGGAGGGAGATGCATATGAGCCCATTGCTGCCTCAAGCTGATCCTTACTTGTTCCACCTCTCCCCACATTGTTCCACGAGGGATCAGGGTGCATCCCTCGCTCAGGATGTTCATTTTTCCCAAAGCCAAAGCAGCCAGGAGTTTCCTAGGTAAAAGAGATCTTCCAAGTGTTTAAACATTTCTCTTTTGATGTCCTGAGAGCTGTTAGGAACCAGAAACCAGAGTAAAGTAACACAGATGAGCGCAGCTCTGACAGAGACCCGAAGGCAAGGCCCATAGGCAGGGAGGAGCTTTGCCAGGGGTGGCACCCGGGGACACTCTCCTGGGGACTTTACCCAGGAGGTGCTGTGTGGTCTGACAGGAACAGCAGAACCCACTGCTGAGGGTGAACCCACTGAGGCTTCACCCCAGGGCACCACCTCAATGCAGCACCTCGAAAGGCAGTTGGGAACCTGGGGTGATACGCCCCTCCAACCCCACAACAAAGTTTCTGCCCTTGACCATTCTGGAAGGCTCCAGGCACCTGTGAGTGCTGTGCCTCTGGGCTGGCACCCCCAGGAGATACCTGGTTCCGATGCCACTCTCCTTCAGCAGTCAGAATCCTGCCAGCCAGCCCTCTGTTCCCATCCCATCCCATCCCCTGCAGTCCGTTCTTTCAGACCTTTCTGGAAATGGGTCAGAGGGCTTTGGGGGTCTCAGGTGGTTTTGATCCCCTGCAGTCCATGCCCACTTCTCAGCCTCACTTCTGTGCTTGTGCTGTGCTGTGTTGTGCTTATCTCCAGGAACTAGAACAAGGATGTTTGTCCCAGAGAAGTGTTGCCCTCCCTCCGCATGGCCCCTTCTCCAGCCACATCTTGTTCTTTCCTATGGTGTATTAGGACCAACAATCCTTGGTTATTCCCAACAGTCCTTGGTTGGCTCCACAGCTATCAGTGTTTGAGGCACACACATTAGCCCCTTATCTTCTGGGATTCTACACTGCCCCACTCCATCCCATCTCCATCCCACGGGGTGGGGAGCCGTCCCTGCCCTCCGGTGTGGTCATACCTGGCGGGTCAGTGCGACCGGACTCTGTTCACTCCGCAGGCTTTAGGTGCAATCCAAAGGATTACACAGACTGTCACCACCGAGGGAGCTGCCGCCTGGGGCTGGGGAATTGTGGGGCAGGATAACGGTGCTCGTGGGCACTGACAGCACCGAAAGACGAGTCCCGGCCTCACTCATCTCACAGCACAGGAGCGATGGCTGGGCGGTCCCGTTCCCCCTCCTCGCAGGGGCTGCGGCTCCGTCCCGGCTGCCGGGTGTCACCAGAGCTGTTCGGCGACGGTGTGAGAACGGGCCCCCGCGGCCCTGCCGCCTGCAGGGCTTCCCACAGCCCGGGGGGACTCACCGCTCCGAGGGTTTTTTAGCAGGGATCGGGAACACCCCGCGGCTCTGCCGGGCCGAGGGCCCTGCCCGTGACGCAGCGATGCACCGACACCGCGGCCCCGTCACGGCCCCGTCACGGCCCTCCCGGCAGGAGGGACGGGAAATGCCGGGGGGGGACCCTCCACCCTCCGCCCCCTCTGCCCCCGTCACACGGGAGAGCCGGGAACAACCCCCGGGCTGGGCCGCCGGCCCCGCAGCCCCCCCGAGCCCGAACCGCCCCCGCCGCCGGGGCTCAGCCCCGCCCGGGAGGGCCGGGAGCGCTCGGGGCTCGGCTGTGGCACACGCCGCTCGTCGCCGCTCGTTAACACAAACAATTAGCGAGCACAGCCAGGGAGAGCCCGGATGCTGCCGCCGCGGGCACGGCACGGGCACAGGTCCCGCCCAAACGGCTGATTCTGCCCGTTTAACTCTTGTCTTGGAGCCGGATAAGGAGATGCTGGTCACACAGGGAGCGCTCCTTCCCGCGAGGGTGGTCAGGCCCTGGAATAGGCTTTCTGGAGAGGTGGTCGGTGCCTCAAACTGTCAGTATTCAAGGGGCATTTGGACAATGCCCTTAATAATGTGCTTTAATTTTTTGGTCTGGCTGAAGGGGTCCAGCAATTGGACCCAGTGATCTTGTGGATCCTTTCCAACTGAAATACCCTATCCTATCCTATCCTATCCTATCCTATCCTATCCCATCCTATCCCCTGTCCTATCCTCTATCCTATCTCCTATCCTATCCTATCCCCTGTCCTATCGTCTATCCTATCTCCTATCCTATCCTATCTCCATCTCCTATCCTATCCTATCCTATCCTATCCTATCCTATCCTATCCTATCCTATCCTATCCTCTATCCTATCTCCATCTCCTATCCTATCCTATCCTATCCTATCCTATCCTATCCTATCCTATCCTATCCTATCCTATCCTCTATCCTATCTCCATCTCCTATCCTATCCTATTCTATCCTATCCTTATTCTATTCTTTTCTATTCTATTCATAAACTCAGGTGTAAAATGTGTTCTTCAGGACCGAGCCCAGGCAGTATTCCCTGATCATTCCACAGGATCATTGATCGCAGGGTCAGTTTAACTCTTTGGGAGAGGACTCAACGAATGCAAAATGCCTCTCTCCTACAGGAAGCAGCTCAGGACAGCAGGCAGGCAGCCCTGTTCTTGTCGCCGAGGGGGCAGATTCACAGAGCATCACCGGGCTCTCCCAGCCCACCCATCCCTGCTCAGTCCCAGTGCACCCACCACATCACCCCGATCCCCCACTGCTGACCCACTGCAGGCAGCAAAAATACATCCGGTGTTGTCCCTGGGTCTGCCCACGATGCTCCCAGCCAGGAAACAGGTACCTGAGGGATCCTCCCGCTGCTGCTCCCACCAGCACCTCCCGACAGCCGAGGCCTCATCCTCCTTATCCTTCAGCCCCTACAGGGCAATGGCAGGGCTTTAATTGGGGCACACAGAAAACCCGGCCTCCAGGTCAAGGATACACATGCCACACAAGCCAAACTTCTTCACCAGGATTTCTGGAAAAAGTAAATGCAGCACCTGGCACTGGGGCCATGAACTTTTCATCTCACACCCTAATCCTGGTCCCACTGTGGTGGACAGCTCGTCACACCTCGGCTGCCTGTGGTAAAACACAGGTGGCACAGTGACACTGAGGAAAGCAGCCATTACCCACACACTGGGGACTGGCACGGGCACACCAGGGACCTTCCCATGCACCCTTGGGTTTGTTGATGGTTATTCCAACAGGCACCAAGGTGTAAACGTGCAGCTCCTCACGTTCTGTCAGGTGCATCCGTGATGTAGAGCAAATTCCTGTACCAGAGTTCCCAGCTCTGCAGAGCTGGCACAGGCCACCTTCTGTATCTGCAAGCACCTGGGGCTGATTTTTCTCTTTAAACAACTGCCTCTATTATTTCTGTCTTATTTGCAACTCATCCACCATCTGACATTTAAAGGGGACGCCTGAAGGAGCTGCACACACCAGCAAGGCCAGAGCTCGACCTCGACCAGTGCGGTGTCCCCCAGCAGCAGGGGAATCACAGAATGGTTTGGGTTGGAGGGGTTAAAGATCGTCCAGTCCCACCCCCTGCCATGGGCAGGGACACCTTCCACTAGACCAGGCTGTTCCAAGCCATGTCCAACCTGGTCTTGAACAGTTCCAGGGAAGACACCAAAGGTCGTTGCTTCCCTCCTCTGCCTTCTGGGAGGGCACCACGGAGCCTGCCAACTCAACCACTTGACTTGGGCATAGGAAAAACTTTTATTTACATGTTAATTAAAAAAATACTTGACAAAAAAGGCATACAGTATTTTATACTAAAAGAATAAAGATTTTTATTAAGCACTGTAAGTTGCATTCAATAGCCTTCAAAGACACCACACCACAATCCATCTACAACCAGCCAAACCCAACAGTAGTTCATTCTTGCACAATCCATGAGTTGGGGCAGAACTCCCTTCAACTTACATTAAGATACCTACTTAGCTCTGGCGGGCAGGGAATGGGGAATTACACCTCATTTCTGATCACTAATGTGTGATGAAGAGCATCAGGAGAATTATATGAAAACGAATATAAAGAAATGATTCTGATTTTGAAGTACATTAAGTTTGGAAACACTAACAAAAACATCAAAATGATACAGGTATATTTGCTTATACTAAATTCTTGATGGGAAAGTTCTCAAGAACAAGCCATTTGTTTCCTGCTACAGAAGGGGGGTACTTTTTTTTTTTTTGAAGATCAAAGCGTTTTTTTTTTTGTTTTTCACAGAATTTCATATTTGCTAATATGAAGGCATAAAACAGCAACAGAGAACAATAATGCATACAGCAATGAGTACACCAGGGTAACGTTGATATTCAAAACGGCTAGATAATTTTTTTTTTAAAGTTTTAGAATAAATGCAACAGAGGTCAATAATCACAAAATTTTAAGGTTAGAGCAAGATCAGTCAATGACTAAACATAGTTAACATCTTTTATAGGACTATTACTGATTATTAGCTTTTTTTGTTTTGCAAATGGGCACAGTACTTGTAAGAATGGAAGAAAGAGGACAATAACATGCATAATATTAACTACACACTTTAAAAATCATGAACCATGCAGAAGTTTAGCTCAAATAGTAGTACTAATGGTCTACGTCTGATTCAAAACCACATAGTTCATTGATCACGGATGCATGGTATTAGTCACAAAAAGTTTCCCAACACATTGTGTTTGTTTTGAAAGGTCGTTTGCATCTTCTATGATTTCAAGTTTATCTCCGTTTAACTCGCTCGTAACGTATGTATGATGTCTATTGAACTCAGCAGAACTGCAAGTGTTACTGAGAATTGGTAGTTTCGAGAGTTTGCACATTTTTAAACACAAAAGAACCACGGCAACGGTGATGAGATTTCAGAAAGAAAAAACTGTGGTTGTGCCTTTTTCCCCCCATAATCATGAAATCAAAGCCTTAAAGAAAGCTTTATTGTGACACAGTAATGCAAAATCAAATATAATGGCATACATATGGTGCCAAGTACTAAAAATTATAGTTTTAAGCTATATATACTTAAAGACTGCCAAAATTTGTTTTCTTTATATTTCAAAAAACAAAACTACAAGCTTTTGTCATAACCAGTTTAAACTTTATGTATACTTCATTTTAAGTGCGGGAGTCAAATGCTCTTCATTCTCTTTTTTTTTTTTTTTGTTTTATTGTAGCATTTTGACTACAACTGGTTAAAACTAAAAAAATGTGTTGTTTAAATCTCTGACATCAAAGAGGGATCCGAATTTCCAAAGTCCTCATTTTTCTCTTACGGAAAGGAAAAAATGTACGTAACTGTAGGCTCTCTTTCTTTCCAGATATTCCTAATCCTGACCCTTCCCAACATCCTTCACCCTCTATAAAAAATAAGTTTACTCTTCTTTTTTTAAGACAGTGGCCTCAAGAGCATCATCTTTATGGCAAACACTGTCTGCATTTAGTGCATTTAAGTGAGGATTCGTATTGCACATTTTAGAGTCATTACTCAAGGCACTTTCAGACTGATTGGAAGCCCTGATGTCTCCTGTATTCCCATTCATCTGGGAAGCTGGTTTTTCCTCAGTCACAACTCCATTTTCAGCCAGGGATCCATCTGAAGACACAAGTGAGGATTTAGATTCCTCGGATTTTGACTTAAGTTCTTTGGCTACTTCTTCTGCTGAAGCAGCGTAAGGAGGTTTGCCCTAGTTGTTAAAAAAAAAAGAGAATTACTGAAGAACCAGTGCTATAAATGTATATAAATCTATAACTGTACAGTCTGATACAAGGATGCCACAACAGGCAGCATGCAGGGCGCGGGATTGTGAGTGAACATGAAAAACCAGGCATTTGCTGAAAGAAGTGGCCAAAAAAAATACACTGAGGAGAGGATTTTCAGTGTTCCCCAGAGCCTCCTGATGCTCCTGGGGCAAATGCCTTAGTTTCAACCTCGATATTTCACTTATTTCACAACATCAGAGGTGCATAAATGTCTGCAAACACCAAAACTGAGAATCAAAGAACTCTGCTTCTTGGTTCATTAATGCTGTGATTTAAATTCAAACCCCACTGTTTTCAGACAGCATTTAAAGGAGTGCAGAGGCACCATGCAGTATTCTCTGCACCAGGCTATATGCTTCCAACGTTAGGACAGGGGTTTTATACAAAAAGCATATAGTAAAATCTTACAAGACTGAGTAGAGCCATAAAACCCAGATTGATGCAGCATACAATTAGTTTTAAAGTATCTATAATTAATCTTAGCATTCCAGAAACATAATAGGCTTTAAACAAACCAAAATAAGCAGGCTGGGCTGCTAGGGAGCAGCGCACTGGTCTGTCACACTGTTCACAAAGTCACATGCTAATGGCTTAAAACAGGGAAACCTGACACACCTCAAACAGCAGCAAACTCCTCCATTTCTACCTGCCAGAACAGCATGTTAGTGCTGTACTGAGCTGCTGAAGGATTCTACAGAAGGATTTTGCAGGTGAGCCAGCACTGCTGCTCTCCAGCATTCTCATTACCCAGATAATCACCAACAACTCTGCCCCCCTGCACAGGTACGGGACTGGCCCCTGAGGACAAGGGACATTGATCACCCATGTCCATGGGCCTCTTTAGAGGGGTCACTATATTCAGCTTTCAAGACATGCTTTTGCTTCTTTACAGACCAAGAGTGAAAGGTCTCCTCCTGGGACAAAAACGGCCAGTCTGATGTGTTTGGTAAATACAAGCAGCT